CCAAATTGACAGGTAGAGCGCTCGACTTAATTGGCTCTCGTACAGAACTAACCAAATGATATGATATAAAAAGAGTGCTTCAATTAAGTTTTGGAAACCAACGCGATATTGATTGTTTGATTCAGGATTTAATAACTCTTAGACCTGCGAAAAATGAAACCCCTTATAATTTCTGGATGTGTTGTCAAGACGCTAGAAGACTTTTAGTCGCTAAATTAAATTCACTATCCGATAAAACTAACGTAGAAAAAATAATTCAAATAAAACAATTTGATGATGAGCATTAAAAACTTACATACGTGGCCTAAGCGGACAAATTCAGACCAACGTCACTACGACTTTAAAACCCTGATAGTCTAGAAAAAGCTATGAGTTTAGTTGTCAAAGAAGATTTTTTTTTGTATTCTACCCAAAAAATTAACTTTATTAATACTTAAACATCTTTTAGACCTATTAATCGAATGGCACCTGTGAGACCAAATAATTACCGAAGGCCTCAACTAAGACATTTCCCAGCAAATTCTTACATACGACATCCACTACCTAGTTTTCAACCTTTATTTCAAAATCAGAACCCTAATTCTCATATTTTTAGACAAAACTGGCAGCCAACTAACATTTTTTCCAACAAACCACAGCAACCATTTTCACCTCAAAATCAATTCAATAAACCCCATCAATTCCATAATTTTAACCAACGTTCTACACGAACTCATTTTAATTCAAATAATTCTAATAGAAATTTTATCCAATGAACACTTCGTCCGGAAATACCGTGTTACATCCCCAATCAATTCAATTTAATTACCAAGAATATTTTGCTAATGAAAACGAAATTATTCCAGTCAATTACGAGTATATGCAATCAACATATCATGATAATTATGCTTACCCAATCAATTTTAATGGAAATCAAAATTTTAATGTATACAATTATAATAACTCTATTCAAAACCAATCCCAGCTAGGTCAGGAATCCCAAAATACGGAAACAGATCAAGAAATCTAAAACCCAGAAACACCAAATTTTTGCGAAACTTCCAACAACCTAACGTAATATAGTTAAAAAATATAAAAAATAATTTACCCCATATCTTTATTCCGGAACTAAACTCAATTTTTTTAATTGACACAGGAAGTAGTAGAAGTTTAATGAACCCAGATCTTGCGTATAAATTTAAACCTTATATTTTTAAAGGAAATTTTCATATCCAATCAGCCCATAACATAAGTTATCATAACGAAGTTATAATTATACCAATTTTTAAATTATTTAATATAAACGAAACACATAAGTTTTATCTTTTTAAATTTAGTCAGAAATATGACGGCATCATCGGTGTAGATTAACGTAAACAGCTAAATGCGAATGTTAACATGGAAACTAAGATGCTTACAACGCCTTATTCAATGATTCCCATAATATACGAGCTCGAACAAGAAACCAAAGAAAAACTACGATTAAATTTATATATTAATATTCCTGCACGTGTAGAAAAAAAATAGTTAAAATTCCTGTAAATATGGATTATGATGGTATACGAGTTTTAAATCTTTTAAAATTTAATAAAGGAACCGAAATTCCAAGGGCTTTAGTTAATGTAAAAAATAATTTTGCAACAACCACAATTATAAATAGTAACCAAAATTCCGTTGAAATAAATTCTGAAGAACCAATTGAAATTGAACCTTTAAATATCTTTAATATCCTTTAAAACAAAATTTTGATAACCCTTTAAAACAAAATTTAGCGAATATAAGACTTAAACACTGTAATAAAGAAGAATTTGATTACGAGATAATTTATAAAAAAGAAAAGTACAATACAAATGCCGACGCATTATCACGCATATCAGTTAACGCAATAGAAACCGAATCAGTCATAAGTAATTCGGGAGAAGTAAATAAAGATATTTTAGAATATTTTGAAGAATTTTCTAAAAATCTACAATTAGACGATAAAGATAGTAATCAAAACCAATTAGAAAAGGAAAATCAAAATTTTACAAAACATTAAACTAGTACCCTTACAAACAATTAATAGCCCCCATTCGAGTAGTGTTCAAACTGCAAATAACGGTATTTCCATATTAGATGATATAATTAATAATAAAACAAATCAAATTTTAATTAAACCCAATGTTTATAATAAACTTGACGTAGTACAAAAAAATCAGTTTCAAAAATTTAAAATTTTTCGTTATTGACGTAGGGACAGTACAATAATTATAAAAACTTACCATTATTTGTTCCAGCCATAACGTATGACAGTATTGAATAAAATGATGGTCAAAAATTAAAAATAAATTAGGAATTAACATTGTAAGAGAAGCAAAACCTTCATGCGTAATTTACTAAAACAACGCAAGTAATTATAATTCATAAACTTTGACTGGTTACCTAATAAAAATCCATTATTTGATTTGCTACAGATATTAAAGAATTCAAAATTCACTAAATTTTGTCGACATAAAACACTTACCTACTCATTTTAAATTTTAGCGCGCTGGAAGCCCTCTCTAGCCTACCACGGTGCTGACAAAAATTATTAATATTCACTAATAGTTTTCAGTAATTAATTTAAAATTATATTTTGTTATTAGCAGCTCTTTAATTGATGGTTTCCATCACCAACGTATGACAATATTTAATACAATGATATTTCTTCTGGGCTTCCAGCGTTTTTCTATATTAAAAAAAAATTGAATTAAATTTTTTCCGAGATACATCTATTTTTGTAAATGCGTAGTAATTAATTAATTAAGTAATTTAAAACTAATTGTTTATTGAAATGCTTCAAACTAAAACACTTTTCCCAAAGCTCCGTATGAGTTAGAGATAATGTATTAACTGAAAAAAATAAACAAACTAAACACAAACTAAAATCCTTAATAATTTAATTTACTTACTCAAGAGCACTTCCGGTGAAACCAGAAGTGACAAAAATATGTTAAATATGTGAAAAAGTTCTAAATTACACTTTATAAAGGTCACTCCAGTTTCATGACCCTAGTTAAAATACCAAATTTTTGCGATGAACCACGAATTTACTAGAAAATTATATTTTCATTAAAAAAATTATTCCGAATTCCGAAATGAAGAATTTAGCCAACTCGGGACTTTTGGTGAAGTTTTTTGAAAAAACAATTTAAAAAAAATGTGTGAACTCAATTAATTTTTTATATATTTTTTGTATGTAGTAAATATTTATCTACAATTTAAAAAAAAATTGTAACGATCGAACAATTTTGGCCAAGTAATGGCATATTTAAAAAAAAATCGATAGTTTTGTCCATTTTTATTAAATTTCCTACGGGTAAATAAAAAAAATTAAGCAAAGAGAAAACATACTGGTCTCATCAATTTCGGTAGAGACACTAAAAAATGCGTTGAAAAATAACGACTTGGTTGGATGGAAAGAACTTAGTGGCATAAATTTAGGAGCAGATTAAGCAAATCAAAATAAGACGAAAATCTAAATAAATATTTTTCCTTATTACATATCTTTAAAAGATACAGGGTGATAAAGTGTTACTTATCATATCAGTTTTTTTTAATATAACTTCTACTATGGGGGCATTCCACGTTACTCGGTAATTTTTGTCCCGCCCGTCACAATTAAAAATTGTGAGTAAAAACCACAAGTTATAAAATTAATATTTTATAATATTATTTTTATTGTGCTTATAACTTATTAAAAGTATAATAAAACAATATTTTTAAATAAATTTTATAACGTGGAGTTTTTACTCACAATTTTTAATTGTGACGGGCGGGACAAAAATCCCCGAGTAACGTGGAATGACCCTATGGTAGACTTGCAAAGGTGATATTTTGCGAACACTTACTATCAAAACACATATTCACACATAATTACAATTGTTCGAGTGAACACAGTGTCGTAGAAACAGGGGTTGCTTAAGCTTATTGTCCCATACAAACTTTTAGGTTAGGTTTTTATACCATTTGATGCAATTTTTCGATTACTCATTTCGGCTACTATTAAAAAGGTGTACCTCTCAAACTTCGATAAAATAAACCGTTTCCGAGATATTCGAGATTACAATAATTATGATAACAACTTTTTTAATTGAAAAAACTACATTTTTTTAAATTTGACGGTCAGGGCAAAAAGTCCCGAGGCTCATGGAATGCCCTTTTTAGTTTTTTCAATAAAAAAATTAAATTTGTTATCATATACCTTTTAATCCTAATAAATAATGCGATATAACAATTATTGTAATCTCGAATATCTCGGAAACGGTTTATTTTATCGAAGTTTGACAGGTACAACTTTTTAATGGTAGCCGAACTGTATAATCGAAAAATTACATCAAATGTTATAAAAACCTAACCTCAAAGTTTGTATGGGACAATAAGCTTAAAGCAACCCACGTTTCTTCCTCACAGTGTTTAACAATTGTAATTATGTGTGAATATGTGTTTTGGTAGCAAGATATCACCTTTCTAAGACTACCATAGTAGAAGTTATATTAAAAAAACTGATATGTTAAGTAACACTTTATCACCCTGTATCTTGGTAGTTAATTAGGAAAAATATTTATTTAGGTTTTCGTCTTATTTTGACCTGCTCAATCTTTTCCTAAATTTATGCCAATAAGTTTAGGGACACCTTGTATATATATATATATATATATATATATATATATAAAACTTTTGTTTATTGCCAAAAAAACACTGTGTAATTAAACTTGTATGTAATCACTTGTACTATACCATTTTTACTTACATAATATTGCATTTACAATTTTCTTTATTTTTTAATCTTGAAGGATTTAGTCAATGGAATAATTTATAGTTGATTGATCTGATAACTTGGACTGGTTTAGCGGTAAATATGGTTTTTTAATCGAGTCAATGACAAACAATAACTTAACCCACTCTGATTACTCGACCCCACTGCACTGAAATCTTCCATGTAAAACAATTATTAAGTATAAATAACCGAAAATAAAATCATAGTCAGTACAAATATTCATTAATCATTAAGATGAAGATCCTATTGGTGTGTTGCCTTGTTTTCGTCGTAATATCTGCCAGGCCAGAGGACAAATCAAAAACGGAAAAGTCAAAAGTTGAAAAACTTTCTGAAAAACATACTGAAGAAAAATATACATCCAAATATGATAACGTTAATATTGATGAGATTCTAAAAAGTGATAGATTATTAAAAAATTATGTTAATTGTTTGTTGGAAAAAGGAAAGTGTGGACCTGATGGACTAGATTTAAAAAGTAAGTTAGAAAATAACCCTTGTAATCCTTAAAAACCTTGTTTGTAGCGTAATTGGTAAAAAAAGTTCATGTTTATTTTAAATAATTAAAAAAAAAACTGGAAAATTTTTAAGCTTGTTGCAAATTTTAAATTTAATTTATTTCAAAATATCTTCAAGGGTCTGAGCTCTAAAATATTAAGCGTACAATCAAAGTTAGAAGGCCGACGCATAGTGGAGGCCTATAATTAAACAAAGCACAAAAAGACACTTCTTGGCCGAATGGATTACAACATTTTATCTTCAAAGCACAATTGTATTTGTTAAACGATACATAAAACGTACAATTATAAAATATTAAATTTTTACTCCCTAGGCTGTAAAAACCTCACCCGGTTGGCCTAAATCATGTTTTATGTGCCTAGGCTATAATCAATACCTTTGGTAACGAGTGTTGACAACAACGTTGAACGTAAAATTAAATTTACATTGAGAACCAGTAGTATTTTTTTAATGTATCTATGCCAAAGAAAAATGTTTTGTGCTTATATATTTATAAATTTAATTTATTCAATCAAATTTAAGATAAAGTTGATCTAAAAAATCATTTTCCAAACTTTTTTTGTCCCAAATGTTTAAAATTTCGTATCTAAATTGGTTTTACCCTTCAAATTATTTTTGACTTTTACTCAATTCATAAGTTTTATTTATTTAAAAAATAATAAAATAAGGGAAATAAAAAAATATCATTATTATTATTATGAAAAATGCTTTTAGTTCATGTAACGTACACAATGTACTACATACTTCATATTGTGTACTTAACATGAACTGGATCTTGTGGTAACAGCAATACTTTTTGAATCAAGCAAATTTAACATTTATTTAGTCAAAAAATAAATGAATGCAGTTAATTTTTTGCTTGGACCACAAAGACAAATGCCTTTCTCTTTCGCAGTGGAATTCATATCTCCCGCACCCACCCTTCTGTCACGTATCGTAACTGAAAATCCTTATTGATAACTTAATGACAATAGGGCCACTTAATGTGGTACGAGTTTGCCTGCGTCCAATATTTTTTAATACAAATTTGACACAATCCGAGGGCAAAAACAAAAAAGATTTATATTGTAACTAAAATACTTATGTCCCGCGCTCATTTTTTCAGGTTTTGATCTTTTTTGATGGTTTATGTGAAGATTTTTATAATCTTTTGAAATTCAACATTTAACATTTTTTATTTTTATGTAGAACATTTACCTGATGCCCTACACAACGGATGTGCAAAATGTAGCGAATTACAAATGGCGAATTCCAGAAAAATCATTCATTTTCTTATTGATAATAAGAGAGATTTATGGAACGAATTGGAAGCAAAATACGATAAAACTGGAGAATACAGAAAGAAGTATGATGCCCAAATTAAAAAGGAAAAACTTAAACTTTGAAAAAAATAATGTATGATTATTAATATTTAAATTTAATAATTATTTTACACCTAGTATGCACCTATGTTTAAGTAAGAGTAATTTATTGTAACTATGTAAACATGTTTTATTAGTTTGTACCATATTAAATAAATATAAAAATAAAAATTAATTACACTTTTTATTAGATACAACCATTGTTTTTTTTAAATAATTACCTAACATTATTTTTTTAATTAAAGACAACCTTACCTGAAATTAACAAACCTAAGTTTGAAAAAAAGTAATATACCTACAACTATTATTCAATTGCATCTATGACATATTATGTGGTGTTTTTTGTTGTTTCCATTTTAGTTCAATTTTCTTGTGGAGATAATGTTGCAAATATGGAAAATGATGGTTTTAATCTGGAAAGCTTTTTAAATAATAGTAATATTTTAAATAGAATCATGAACTGTATTTTAGACAAAGGTCCTTGTTTTGGTCCTATGGAAAAATTAAAGAGTAAGTGATTAAATTTTAAAACATCCAATTAAAATATGAAGAAGAACTCCTTTGAGTTGGTGTTCTATTTCAATTTAAATGCATTTAAATATTATTTTCAACCTGCTATTCTTTTCGGATCTGTTTGACCCGAGTTCAAAGTAAATACCTCATTATTTTGTGATTTCGTAATAGTATCTTGAAGAACGAATAGGTCCTAAGACTTAATTATTCCGCACCAGTGGCGGCTCGTCAGGGTAGGCCTCTGAGGCCGCGCCTCACCCTTAAAATAAAGGAACGAACGACTTTTTGTATTTATATTTTTGCCTATTACAAGTGTATTTTTACAACAGTTTTACCCAATAAAAAGTAAAAAACCAATCATTCATATTAAGCGTAAATAAAAATCCAGGCGCAAAGCGCGTCAAGTTAACGTGCTTCGTTGAGTCGCTTGGACAGAGGCGAAATTTTCACAGCCTCGGAAGCTCCTATTTACCTCTTGAAAGCGAAAATGACTCACCAACAAAAATATCGCCGTAAGTTCGCGAATAAACACCGTAGATGAGGCGAAATTTAGTTGGCTTGGTTTGTTCTGATTGGTGGTCCGTTTATGGTGGGATGCCAGCGGAGACAAAGAAGGTTGCCAGTCTTCTCTTAGCGTTTGTAGAGCACGTTATTGTTTTGATTCAGATTAAATTATTTAAAACTTTTGGCTGATCTTTTATAGTTTTTGTCTCGATTAGTAAAATTTCTTATTTAATTATTGTAGGGAACACACTAAGGTAGATTTAGCAGTTTTTATTAAGCAAATTTTATATTTTGAAATAATAGATTGCATAATTCTTCAATTAGAGACGCGGTTTGAAAATTTAGAATTACTTTTAAATCTCACTGCAGACCCACAATTTTACCACCAAATAATAGATAAATTTTCAATCTTAAAAGATAGACGTATAGTATTTTATATTTTTTAATACTTAGGTAGGGGTCGACTTTTTAGTTTTATTTTTTGATTAATTTATTTATTTTTAACTTTTTTAAGACTATATTTTAAGTTTAAGATTAAAACTAGTCTTTGATGTGATATTTTGTTTGTTTTGTTTTTTAGAGTTTATTTTTTGGTTTAGTAGTGCTATCGGCTCCATTTTAAAAAAGGTCAACGCGTCGCAGAATAATACCTCCCGGGTGACGTGGAAATTTATTCGTATTTAGACAAAATTAACCTTATGTAGCCTCACCCTCCTGTACACCCACGAGCCGCCACTGTTCCGCACAACGACAAGTTCTGGTAATGGACGAGTGCGAGAAAAGGTCTTGTGATAAAATATTACGATACGCAAATGCGTATTATAATATTGCCTATTGCCATGCACAATCAGAAAATAGTAGTTTTTCTACTTATATAACGGAATATGACTGTTCTAATATCACTTTTTATTGTGGAATGACATATATTCCTTAAAGTGTTAGTTACAAAATCAATTATTCTATTACTGGATGACGAAATAAACACTGGTGGCGACATTTCTGAGTTTTATATCTAACAAATTTTAGACCGATCAAACCACACTTTCTCAAAATTAAATAATTATTTTTTGGAAACGTAGAAAAAAAATTGTCTGAAACACACTTCTATGGCGCGCCGTTTTAATATTTATTAGATAATATTTTCAAACAAAATTTCCACTTCATGTCAATTATTATTAATGTAACATTTTTACCAAGTTGAAAAAAATGGTACCTACATAAAAAATTATTTGTTGCTAAAATGCAACTATAAAAATTTATACTTAAAAATATTCAAATCAAAAAAATTGTATAAAAATGTTAATTATTAAAACTTAACGCTTTAATTTTTTAAAGAAACATTTAAATGCAAATTCAAAAATTTTGCAGGCAAAAATTATCGGTTTAAATTTTTAAACAAACATAAAATGTAAAGTAATACATTTTTAAAACAAAATTTATTACTTTACTTAATGTAAAGTGATAAATTTTGTTAAAAATTTAAATCGAAAACTTTTGCTGACAAAAATTATCGGTTTAAATTTTTAAACAAACATAAAATGTAAAGTAATACATTTTTAAGGCAAAATTTATCACTTTACATTAAATGTTTGTATAAAAATTTAATGTAGAGTGATAGGTACATTTTTAAGACAAAAATTATTGTTTCAAATTTTTAAACAATCATAAAATGTAAAATAATACATTTTTAAAACAAAATTTATCACTTTACATTAAATGTTTGTTAAAAATTTAAATCGAAAACTTTTGCTGACAAAAATTATCGGTTTAAATTTGTTAAACAAATATTAAATGTAGAGTGATAAATTTTTAACACAAATTTCTTCGGTTTGCATTTAATGTTTGTTCAAAAATTATCACTTTACATTCGTTGTGGAAACGTAGCCTAAGCCAATTTTAATATTAATACGGTGCGACACACAGACAAAATAGACTTGCCCTGTTCAGTATCGCTAACATGAAACCAGCGTGCCATAAATCGGGGAAGGGGGGCAAGGGAATGTATACATTATATTATATATTATATAAGAGAAGATATGTATTCTGCCAGGCCCGTATTAAATAATTTCGTACGAGCGGTATCTAATTTAAAATATTCCTAGTGGATTATCAAAGAAATTCATCTAGTTTTACGCTCCAGAATGAACGAAGTACGGCTCTGTGCACAGGAGAGAACAATACAACATCTGTGTGCGCACGCAAGGTATTGACATGCAAAATTAATAAAATCGCTTAAAATTTATCTCGTAATTACTACTTACTGGAAAAAGGAAATTGGTTGAAATTGGCTGGAACTAGTTTCACTACGACTAGGACACACTTTGACAACACATTTACCCATAATGTTCAAAGAATTTTACATAAATAATATATCCTCACAGGTCAACTGCTCAAATATGAATGATGCGAACTGGAAAACAGGCACCCGTTCAGGCACCCGCCCGGCCGTATCATTTTCTCCCTAAGGCAAGTCTATTTTGTCTGTGGTGCGACATCTACCTGCATTTTAGACAATTTTTTTTTATTAGGTAAACCCGTTCACCCAGAGACGTAGAGACTCTCCATTATGGACTGAGCGTTCCCTATTCAGCTGTCAAATATTGGCAAAACACGTGTGAGAGAGACAAAGCGATAGTGGTGCCAGTACTACTGACCCAGTAGTTATCTCTTTCTAGAATTCTGATTGGCAGATGTCGTCGAATCAATCCAAGGATTGTAAAATCCTTGGAATCAATCAACGGTTAACCTTTTTCACAGGAGACTAATTTATAAATTTTCATGTTTGTATCTGGATGCTGTCGATGTTACATAAAATACTATAAAAAGAATTAATCTACTGCAAATGACGCATTCAAAACGTATGCGTTGATTGTGAATTGGTTATACAAAAATTTTCATTAGTTTTTATTAATATTATTAATTTAAAGATATAAATATTGCTTTGGGCAAACCGATCTACGGGGCTGGATGAACTAAAAAATTATTGTTTATATTTTTGTAGTTAACGATCTGTGGCAAATGAGCAGAGTCTCGGCCAAACAAAACTACATACATACATACATATTTTTATAGTTGTCGCGGCGAATGTTTCAAATTGCGTCATCAAATTCTGAACCAAGCACAGACATTAAAATTATTGTTGTTTTTTTTAGGCATATAATCCAAGGAACCGCTAGGTTAACCGTCTGTCGAGAAATCGTTTTTTGACATTCGACATTGATGACGCCATTTGAAACATTCGCCGCGACGACTATACGTGTGTGCTCGCGCGTGTTTGCTCTGGTATTTTTATGATTGTATCTATGCGTAGTGATTGTTAGATGAATATAACTATTAGACTGGGCCAAAAAAATCAACTATTTTTTTTTTGGAAAGTATATCGAAAATATGGTTTGGGGTGACAAAAACAAATTATTGTGAAAGTTTGAGTCCATAATATTAATATTAAGAGGTCCATCATCGCAATTTTAATTTTTTTATCCTCAGCAAGTCTTTGTCTCAGAACTCCCAAACCATTGAGTTTAACAAAATTGACTCGAAAATATTTTTTAAAGAAAATTGAATGCTCTACAAAAAAGGTTAAAACTAAATTTTCTGTCAGATGAACCGTTTCCTTAAAATCATGCCTTAAAAATTGTTATAGTTTTACATTTTGATCTTTTAACTTTGGAATGTTGTATTTCGTGTAAAAATCAGTACCCAGAAAAAAAAACGATGGGAAATTTGAAGTCGAAACAAAACTTTAACCTTGAATAACTTTTGATTGAGTGAATTTAGCCAAAAATGTTAAGAGGCTTTTTTGTAAAGCATTTGATTTCCCATAAGAATATTTATCGGTTTTTTATGGGTACTGATTTTTACATTAATTACAAAATTCCAATTTAAAAGATCAAAATGTAAAACTATACCAATTTTTAAGGCATGATTTTAAGGAAACAGTTCATCTGACGGAAAATTTCACTTTAACCTTTTTTGTAGAGCATTCAATTTTCTTCAAAAAATATTTTCGAATCAATTTTGTTAAACTCAATGGTTTGGGAGACAAAAACTTGCTAAGGAAAAAAAAATTGCGATGATAGACCTCTTAATATTAATATTATGGACTCAAACTTTCACAATAATTTTTTTTTGTCACCCCAAACCATATTTTCGATATACTTTTCAAAAAAAAATATTTGATTTCTAGATGGTTTAATCTATGCGCACTAGTTCCCGGATGATCGTACCTTTGCGGGCTCAAGCAGCATTTTTGGTTCAAAAAATCATTAAGTGGTGATAACTTTAAATTAGTTAAGTATACTAAACAGCTACTTTAATTTTTAATTAAAAGTAATTCTAACTTTTATAAAAGTTAGAATTACTTTATAGTAACCATTTAAGGAAAGAATGAAGTTTCTGTTATTTCTATTTATAAATAGCAATATTTTGTAACAGAAACTTCATTCTTTTCTTAAATGGTTACTATAAAGTAATAAACATTTAAGTAAAACTTGGTTGCCCCCAAGAAGACTTTGCAACTTTAAAAAAGTTTTTAAGTAAATTTAATTTGTAGCAGTTACTTTCGGTTACTACCTAAAGATTACATTATAATTATTTTTACTTTGTAGTCCCTTTGCAAGTTAAAATCTCGAAACTGGAACATGAGTTAAAAACTACAAAGTTAATAACTTAAAAGTAAGTTATTATTTTAGTATTTGGAACGTTTATGGTACTAACCAAAACTACCGTAAAGTAAATTAAGGTGGAAAAAAACTTTAAAGTAGCGAAAACCACTTCAAAGGAAAATGCTTCTTATCGGCCATTTTTTACTGTACAGTAACACGTGGTAATAAATTATTTTAATTGTTTGTAAAAGGTTGTTTACTTTTTAATAAATAGTAATTTATAAATAGACGGTATTAATAATTAAATAAAAAATTAGTAATAAATATTAATATTTTTTTATTTATAAACATTATTAAATAAATAATTTGTTAATACTTAAATATTGAAGAAGCGCATTTATTTTACAAAAGCTAAGTTCATAGTAAAATTTAAAGGGTTTATAAAGTTACCAGCCTAATTAAACATTATATTGTTATTCTGGAAGTTATAAACTACCAGTACATATTTAATGAACGACCACATTGAAAAGCCAAGTCCGTAGTGGTTCCATTTAAAAAAGGAGGGATAGTATAATCTAATCTAAGTTTGACAAAGACAGTTAATATAGAAGTAAAAACAAATAAATAAAAGTAATTATAACGCTCTAGCAACGATATTGAAATGTTCTAGTAACGTGACAGCGAGTGACATATTTGTTACCTTTTTGGAACTCAATAATTTTTCCCCACTTTATTCGTAACTTAGTAATGAAAGAGTAATATAAAGAGACCGGCGACTGTCGCAAAACACTAACTAACACTAAAGTTTCTTCAATAGTCCCATATACGTAACAAATACTTTTTGCTTTGGTGGTAGGTACCATATGACCTACCCATGCGTAAGAGGGTAATTATCGGTTTAATGTTAATGTATTAAACAAACATTTAATGTAAAGTGATAAATTTTGTCTTAAAAATTTATTACTTTACATTTTATGTTTGTTTAAAAATTTAAACCGACAATATATGCCTACAAGACAATTATCGCTTGATTACAGCGATAATTGTCTTCTGGGAATCAATAATTCCATTGTATCTACGTATCCATGGCAATTAATAAAAATATCGTCAGTTTTTATTTTAATGTGGCAGTTATTTTAAATGTTACGTTTTTCATAATTATTAATTTTTTTAGTTTACATTTTAATTATTTGTTAAATGAAGTTTTATGTTGAAATTAAAATATTTGAAAATGTTATTCTTTGATTTAATTAGTTTATTCGTTTAATTATATAAACAAATTACTCTCGTGCATAAAATAATCAGATAATTTTGTAATCAAGCACATTGCCTTTTAAAAAATTCATTCGGTTATTTTCATATTTTAAGGGAAAAGCCCAAAATATTAAAATGCACTCATGCATTTTTTAGGCAATAGGTATGCTTTCAATCAAAATTATCGATAATTTTTAAGCACTTGTGTAATTACCCCCGATAATTTTTGCCTGCAAAATTTTTCACTTTGCATTTATTAAATGTTTCTTTAAAAAATTAAAGCGGTAAGTTTTAACATTAACATTTTTATACAATATTTTTTGATTTGAATATTTTTAAGTTGCATTTTAGCAACAAACAATTTTTTAACTACCATTTTTTTTACTTGGTAAAAATGTTAGTTTAGAAATTATATGTAAAGAAATTTATTTTTGAAAATTTTTAAATAATATGTTTGTTTGCTGTTTTTAAAAATTTAATCTTAAGAAATTCTATATAAGTAAATGATTATTAGGATAAATTTAAGCACAAAAATTTAAGTGTAAAAATTATTTTCCATAAAAAACGACAGTTTGAAATATTTGTAAAAATTGCATAGAAACTATTATATAAGCAGATGAAATAAAATGATACTTGTTAAATTTTACATTCCAATAAATTAAAGTTTAACATTTTTTAACATAACAAATGCAAACCGATAATTTTTAGTTTAAAAATATTTTAAATAGTAAATTTTGAACTGACACAATTTATATAATAAATGTTAAAACTTAACTTGTTACAATTCGGCACGTGTGATCAAATTTTTACTTGAGCGGGATAGGCCGTATTGCAAACTTGTTACAGAATATAATAATATTTAACAAGAATGGTAAGTAGCAATTTCTTCACAAATGAAAGAAGTAACGTACGATACCCGGCAAGTGCGTAATTGCTTTTCCACTCAATTAATGTACAATACTTTATCTACAACACAACATTTTTAACCCTTTTTAAATTTGACGTTGACAGTTCTGACAAGTATTTACTTAATTTTGTCACCATAGTGAATAGTGTAATAAACCAAACAAGTAAATATTCCCTAACACAACAGTTATGTAACTATATATAGCAACCACAACTTAATTCCATGATTTTTCGTATAATACCACTCAACGAACGAAGTTAAGTCACATAAAAATGCCGCCAAAAACTGATTGCAGTTTCTTGTTCGGGACCCTTTGGTGACTTAAAAATGATATTTACCAAAATCCTATCTGCTCCTCTTTTCGAAATTTTTTGAAAATTCATGATTTTTTTTTAAATTTTTGGTTTATCTTCAAGTATACAGAGTACACATTTGTACACCGATTTTTATAATATTGGAGTATATTGTTAAGGAGATTTGGAGAATACTTTTTATACTGCACATGTGCACATCATTTAATATATACAGGGTTAGCCAAAAATCGCTTCTTTTAATAAAGCAAAAGCGTAACTTCATGATTTTTTGCATAACATGCCCATGGTTTTTTAGATATTTTTATGTTTATCAGGCTACAAAGTGGGATTCTTATTAAGACTTTATAAGAAAAATTGATTTTGAATAAAATTAAATAAAATAAAATTTTTTGGAGATAAATCTTTTTTGTGCATTATGCTTTTTCCTATATAAAAGTGATTTTTGGCTAACCCTGTATAAATCTAATGATGTGCTTAGTATGAAAACAGTATTCTCTAAGTCTCTTTAACAATATACTCCAATATTATAAAAATCGGTGTACAAATTTGTACACATTAATGTGTACTCTGTCAAAGGTAAGATAAACAAAAATTAAAAAAAAAAAAGAATTTTCAAAATATTTGAAAAAGAGGAGCAGCTAGGATTTTGGTAAATATCATTTTAAAGTTACCAAAGGGTCCCGAACAAGAAACTGCAATCAATAAAAATCGGTTTAAAAATGTTTATTCTGGCAGTCAGACTTTACGATAAACAAATAATTAAAAAAAAATGATTTTTTAACAAATTTAAAAAAAGCAGTTAGAATTTTGGTAAATATCGTTTTTAAATCTCCAAAGAGTGCCGATCAAAAAACTTTACCTAGTTTTTCGTTCAAAATTGAAAACTACTAAAAAGCCTAAATTAAACAACATTTTAAATATTCTCTTAGCGTTATTTTATTTAATTTTATTAAAAATCCATTTTTTTTATAAAAGGTTAATAAGAATGTCATTTTGTAACCTGATAAACGTAAAAATATCTAAAAAAAAAATGGGGAAAAATATTTTTTGCGTGTTATGCCAAAATCATGAATTTACGCTTTTGCTTTTTAAAAATAAGCGATTTTTGGCTCACCTTGAATATGTCAAATGATGTGAACAGTATTAAAAAGTATTCTTTAAGTCTCCTCAACAATATACTCTAATTTTATAAAAATCGGTGTACAAATGTGTACTCTGTCAAAGGAAGACTTTGAAATAAACAAAAAAATCATGAAAAAATTTCGAAAAGAGGAGCAGCTAGGATTTTGGTAAATATCATTTTTAAGTCACCAAAGGGTCCCGAACAAGAAACTGCAATGGGTGGTAACGTTTTTTTTAACTCATAAACCGAATAAAACCATTTCCTATTTTTAATATTGTCAAATTGTGGTTACCAGTCAAAAAAAGTGCAAGTTTTTTGTTTTTTTTTGTTTTAAATGTACAAAACGGCGCAACAAAAAAATGTATAGTTCGAGCGCGATTATTTGGGCCAATAAACTTATAAGCATAGAATTATATTCTTCGAGACAAAAACGTGTTAATGATTAAAATCATTTATTGAAACCAATATTATTTATACAATAGTCAAAATAACATAAATATTACAAACAATGTCCAGGAACATGAGAGTGCTAAAGGATAATTTACATTCTTAACAATTATACTATTTGGGGACTTACTTTGTTAAGCAATTGTCTTTTATACCAAAAAATAAAAAAAATAAATGGTAATTTTTATTATAAAATTAAATATTTTTACGTTTGTATCGTGTCGGGTCATTATGACCCAATAACCAAAAAAACAACTATGTGTTAAACCGTTTTTGAATAAATTTTTCTGTTTTTTATTGTATAATAATTATTAGATATATATTCTAATAAAATTTTAAAAACGTAATAATAAATAAAAATTGAAACTGTAAATACAAAGAACTATAGTTTTGTATAGGGTAAGTCCGGGAGAGTTGGACCAGGGGGAGAGATGGACCACTGAGCTTAGTTGAAAAAAAGTTGAACAGATGTCGTTCGCGGTACTAACTACACGTAATGGAAGTTACTTTATATCAGTCTTGAGAATCTGGTCGTTAAATGCGTGTTAAATAAATATTTGTTAGCGATTAACGTTTAAAGCTACGTACATAATTTTCTGTGTATTTTATTGTGTCATATAGCATCGACTGTAGGTAAGTTTTTGCAAAATAACTGTGCATGATATCGAATATAGGGTCCATGTAGATTACTCTAACCTAAAAACGAAAAATCCAGAATTGCGACTAGGTACTACTGCTACTGCTACTGCTACTGGTCCATCTAACCCAGAAGAGGTCCATCTAACCCAAGAATTTTATTTTTAGTTTTTGTCAATTTAATCTTGTTAAGAGGGAAATTTTTTAGTTTTGTTATTACGAAATAATACTATTTTTTATAATAAATATAACTGCAAATACTCAGACTTTTTCTAAAAATTTTAAATGAACTCTATGACTTTTTATAAAAGTGGTCCAACTATACCGGACTTACCCTACATACAACCGCATAGAAAATCGAAACATAACGGCAGAGTTGATATTATTGTATGATATGATCGGATATGATTTTCCTTTATATAAGTGTTTATATTTATTTTTAGAAATCATTCCTGATGGTATTCAAACTGGTTGCCAAAATTGCAGTGATGCTCAAAAGAAACACCTTAAAATGATTTTAAGTTTTCTTCATAATAAAAAACCTGACCTATGGAATGATATATTAAAAAAATATGACAGTGATGGAAATTACCGAAAAATGTATAAAGATTTTTTAAATTAAAAAGATTTTTTAATACCATGGTACTTACCAGGAATCGTTTATTTTTAAAACTAAAATTATATTATGGAATGGACTAAATTAAAGCAACACTTTTAAATTTTAATAAAATTGTTTTTTTGTTAGAACCCACTATAAATAAGGCTGTAACGGTCCACCAACGTCAAAATATAAGATTTTTTAAATTAAAAAGATTTTTTAATACCATGGTACTTACCAGGAATCGTTTATTTTTAAAACTAAAATTATATTATGGAATGGACTAAATTAAAGCAACACTTTTAAATTTTAATAAAATTGTTTTTTTGTTAGAACCCACTATAAATAAGGCTGTAACGGTCCACCAACGTCAAAATATGCGTTTATAGACGCTAATACATTTTGGCGTTTTACGTAATTTTGAAATATTTATAGTTACATTCAGGTTAACGGGCCTACCTGCACATAAAAAAACTATTATAGTACCAAGAACAGCGCTGTCATTAAATGCATTAAAATTAAAGCAATCTAAATTGTTATTTGCTCAATTAATTACTATTTAACCAAAATAGGGAAACAATGTCAAAGAATTTATTGCGTTGTATACATAGTATACATACTAAAGTAATGTTTTTAAATAAATCAAATTAGTATTTAATGCAATAACATTAGCGTTTTTTCTGTGTGCAAATAATGTATATATTTGCATAATTAAGCCTATCTTATAAATAATTTAAGGCTTTAATAAATTTTAGGCATTTATTGTAAAAGGTAGTAATTTTTTATTTTGTAATAAAAATTGTGGCAATTCCTAACAAAAAATAAGTTGCTTTGATTGTAGCTATCGTTATATGTTGTAGACGTTTGGCTGAATCTTTAACACTTCTTTCAGGGATCTTTCCTTACCAGCATCAAGCTGTATTTTCAGTTCATTGAGGCTTTCTTCTTTTTAACTATAACTATTTTTCCATCCTTCAACTCCAGTGTTGGTTTTTGGAGTCCCTTTGGAAATATTGGAGGATGTCGCCTCCTTATTATCCTTTATAGTCGTCCAATCTAGGTGTCTTCACAATGTCAGCCAACCCAATTCTTTTTTAAACTTTTTTCTTTTTACGTTGACAAATTTTAACACACTGTTTTTTAATATAATTAAATCGATTATTATTAAAAGGAACCAAGTCACAATTTTGACATTTTTAGTTATACATTGATTTTTATTAATTAGACCAAGCCAGATTGTTTGGTGTCAAAAAGAAGCAAGTTCGCATTTAGTGAAAACAATATTATGTAGGGTAAATTTTTATATATATTTTTAAAAGGACCCAATTACCGGATTTTCAATCTCTCTTACTAACTGTTCCACTAATAGCATCTAGCTATGTTGACTTTGACAGTAGTTAACAGAGATTCTTGTGTTGGTGTTCTGAGAATTGTGAGCTTACACCTGTCTAATAAGGTTGTGAGTTTATTTTATACAGGATCATTACTTCACCCAAACTTGTTAAGATATACCCAAGTGCTATAAGTGCATACACAACGATTCCGAAAGTGATAACAGTGATATATAAATATAAGCCTCAAAAAGCGTCCTAGAGGTGAACGACACGCTGAAAATTATAAGAGCAATGTTGTGAAAAATTATATTATCAAAGGCATAGAATATATTAATCATAGAAATCAAGTAATTGCCGCTAAGAAACAAGGTAAGTTTAAATTTAAACCTTTAAAGTTATATACAGGGTGTCCGGGAAAAGAAAGTCAATCCGTTAACCATATATTCTTTGAGTTAAAACAATAAGACTTTCATGATACCATTTTTCAATTTAGAGCTTCATGTTCGATATACAGGGCGACAAAGTTTGAAATTTAAAACTGATTTTTTTTAATAATTCGGGTAATTGATAAGATATTAAGTTCAAATTCGGCACACTACTTCAACATAAATAGTTACATTTTTTGAGACCAACAAAACAAAAAACAATGGTCAAATAATCAAAATAGGGGGGTCCAGTACTCACTGACTCCCCCTATTTTTTAGTACGTGCGCCAATGACTTCCAAACGGTATTTTTTCAGGTAATCATTTATTGTTGAAAATTTTTTGTCTCTTATAAAATTTTGATAAAATGATTTGTTTTAGAGATAATTTGTAAAGTATGGGTCAGTCCATATCAAATCAACCAAAGGTTCTTCCCCCACCATCTCCGATTTTGATAATTTTTGGTAAATTTGTTTACCTCACTAAAAAACTCAAAAATCCCATATATGAATTTTTTTCGATGGGTGGTTTTTGTTTTATTGATTTTTGTAAATCAAAAAATTCCGATAAATTTGGGTACTTACAAAAATAGCGATATCTCGTAAACTATTAAAAGTAGAAAGGTGAGTGATAGCTTATTTTAAAGGCCTATTAGAGACCTTTTTATGATATATCACATGACCTAAATTTTTTCAAAAAAAAAAATTAAATTTCAAAAATTTGATATGGATTGACCCATACTTTACAAATTATCTCTAAAACAAATCATTTTATCAAAATTTTATAAGAGACAAAACATTTTCAACAATAAATGATTACCTGAAAAAATACCGTTTGGAAGTCATTGGCGCACGTACTAAAAAATAGGGGGAGTCAGTGAGTACTGGACCCCCCTATTTTGATTATTTGACAATTGTTTTTTGTTTTGTTGGTCTCAAAAAATGTAACTATTTATGTTGAAGTAGTGTACCGAATTTAAACTTAATATCTTATCAATTACTTGAATTATTTAAAAAAATCAGTTTTAAATTTCAAACTTTGTCGCTCTGTATATCGAACATGAAGCTCTAAATTGAAAAATGGTATTATGAAAGTCTTATTGTTTTAACTCAAAGAATATATGGTTAACGGATTGACCTCCTTTTCCCGGACACCCTGTACATAAAGAAAACTAGACAGTTATAGTTGCCCAATGAAATGTTTTAACAAATTCAATGAACATGAGCGGAACTTAATTTTTTAAATTCTGTACAATGGATTTGGAACTAAAAACGAACAGGATATATACCTGCAGTCAGGCCTGTTCCTGGGGTGTCTGGCGCCTACCTGCAGCATTCTTTGGTGCGCCCCTTTTATATTTCAATATTATACATACATTAAATATTTTAATTCTAAGCACTAAAATTTTAAAAAATGTATATTTTAGGACAAACTGGCAATATGTAATTAAAAATGTAAAAAAAACTGCTGAAACTAGGCATAAAATATTTATATATATAGGTATATATATAAATATATTTATTAAATTACCAAACAAACAAAATCCCAAAAAATACAACTGGTTTTTAGTGACGTACTCTCTAAAAATGAATAAGTAGTTTTCAAAGTAAAAAAGCAGTCACTAATAACTAGTCCACAGCAATTTGTATCCCGGACTATAACTCAAAAACTGTTCTAACATTAATTAATCACTCAACGGTTCTACTTTTATAACTTTTGACATATATTTTCAGATTTAGTGAACAATTTTACATAGGAGTTGATTGCTAATTGTCCGGGATACAAGTTTCTGTTGACGATAATAATTATTATTAGTAGCTGCTTTTTCACTATGACAATTAGTCACTTTTGACTTCTTAGGCCCGTTATTTCCAATGCGAGTAAACTTTCGTGTTAGTAAACCTAGGATTAACTTAAATTCGAAGTTAACTTGAAGTTATGTTTTATGGGTTTTTCCAAAGATTTTGCTACCCGAGTTTAGTAACTCTAAGTTAAGAAGTTTATCTTTATGTTGGTATCCGTGATTCTATAATTATTCTATGGATTTTATTTAAAATTAATTTAAATTTAAAGCCATCTATGAGCGGTTTGATAAAGAGAGTTTTTTAAGGTGTAGTAGTTTGAATGTTTGAAAGCTTGCAATTAAATTAAATTTTGGGTAAAGTATTATCAGCAAAAATGAGTGAGATTGAGAAAAAAGAGTCCAGATCGAGACCAACCAATTTTAGTAAAACAAGATCAATTGCTGCTTAATCTGGTTTTGAACGATAAGCACATCATAGAATGTAAAAAAAGTGGGCAGTTTATTTGGAAGCAGAAAGATGTACTTGGGAATGTATTACAATCACGTTTAACGCCACGAGCCCTGTTCGAGAAAAAAGACCTAATAAATAAGTATAAAAATCTCAAAAAAAAAACATCGAAAGTCAAAATTATGGCAATCAGGAACATTATAAGACAAACTGGGGGATGTTCAGGTAAAATTTAAGATACGGACGAAATAGACAAAACAGTGGAAGAAATATTAGGTGATCAAATATATGGTTTAATTGCCCTTTTCGATTGCGATCAAGATGAGTCAGTCCTCATGAAGAACATGGAAAATGAACTCAATAATTTGGAGCATGAAAAAGAAAATGCTGAGGTACAAATCGTAACAATAATGCCAAAAGCAAATGTAGACTAGGGTGATTCATTTCCGCAAAGTTTTTGTTTTTTTTCGGTGCTCAAGCAAAATATTAATCTACCTATAGAAAAAAAAATTTTCACCAAGGTAGAGCTCTTAATATCAATTTTAAGTACTTGCAGTTTCAATTTAAAGTTTTCCCATTTAAAATGCATGTAAAAAAAATGGTTTTTTTTTTCAAATTTCTAATGCTTACCCACCTTTGACAATATTGCAAATCGGTTTAATACACCTTATGGGGAATTTCACGCTCTTTAAAATTGCTTTTGAGTTTTTTTTTGTAACTCGCATTGGTTCACCAGTAGGAGTCGTCAAAGGACAGTTTTTGAAAAAAATCTTTTTTTTTTATTTTTTCGAGCAAATTGCCAAAAGTAGTGAGAAAAAAGGGCTGATTCATAAAAAAAAGTTATCCAACCAATATTTAATGAATTTACTGCCATTTTTATAACTGAAAACGTAAGAAATTGATAAATACCAACCTATAATGTTATTTAGATTGATTTTTTCTATTTATTATCATTATATTTCCCTCACTCATAATGAATATGAAAACAACACATACATATTTCAAATTTCGCTTCAAAAAATTAAATAATCTTCATTTATATTTTTTTGCTATTTTTTTATGAATTTATCTGTTGTTTTCATATTCATTATAAGTGAGAAATTAATAATTTTAAAAAACTTCTTAGTGTAGGGAAATATAATGATAATAAATAGAAAAAATCAATCTAAATTATGAGTTGGTAAGTATCAATTTCTTACGTTTTCAGTTATAAAAATGGCTGTAAATTCATTAAATATTGGTTGGATAACTTTTTTTTATGATTCAGCCCTTTTTTCTCCCTACTTTTTGCGGTTTGTTAGAAAAAATTAAAAAAAAAAACGATTTTTTTCAAAAACTGTCCTTTGACGACTCCTACTGGTGAACCAATGCGAGTTACAAAAAAAAACTCAAAAGCAATTTTAAAGAGCGTGAAATTCCCCATAAGGTGTATTAAACCGATTTGCAATATTGTCAAAGGTGGGTAAGCATTAGAAATTTGAAAAAAAATATATTTTTTACATGCATTTTAAACGGTAAAACTTTAAATAGTAAGTACTTAAAATTTATATTAAGAGCTCAAACTTGTTGAGAATTTTTTTTTCTATATGCAGATTAATATTTTGCTTGAGCACCGAAGAAAACAAAAACTTTTCTCCCTACTTTTTGCGGTTTGTTAAAAAAAATTTAAAAAAAACGATTTTTTTCAAAAACTGTCCTTTGACGACTCCTACTGGTGAGCCAATGCGAGTTACAAAAAAAAACCTCAAAAGCAATTTTAAAGAGCGTGGAATTCCCCATAAGGTGTATTAAACCGACTTGCAATATTGTCAAAGGTGGATAAGCATTAGAAATTTGAAAAAAAAACATTTTTTTTACATGCATTTTAAATGGGAAAACTTTAAATTTAAACTGCAAGTACTTAAAATTGATATTAAGAGCTCAAACTTGTTGAGAATTTTTTTTTCTATATGCAGATTAATATTTTGCTTGAGCACCGAAGAAAACAAAAACTTTTCTCCCTACTTTTTGCGGTTTGTTAAAAAAAATTTAAAAAAAAAACGATTTTTTTCAAAAACTGTCCTTTGACGACTCCTACTGGTGAACCAATGCGAGTTACAAAAAAAACCTCAAAAGCAATTTTAAAGAGCGTGGAATTCCCCATAAGGTGTATTAAACCGATTTGCAATATTGTCAAAGGTGGATAAGCATTAGAAATTTGAAAAAAAAACCATTTTTTTACATGCATTTTAAATGGGAAAACTTTAAATTTAAACTGCAAGTACTTAAAATTGATATTAAGAGCTCAAACTTGTTGAGAATTTTTTTTTCTATATGCAGATTAATATTTTGCTTGAGCACCGAAGAAAACAAAAACTTTGCGGAAATGAATCACCCTAATGTAGACATTGGTGAATTTGTTGTCGATAGCGATGGGATGGTCAACACAGGTGAGAGGACAGGAGAAGCCAAAAATTGGACAGAATACACCACCAAAATGTTGAAAGAACCAGTTAACAGTCAAAGGGAAAAGTTAACAGAACAACATTAATTAAAAATTAAAATTTTTACTAAACAGTTGCAACAAAAAAAGATATTAATGAAGGAATAGTATATTCTGTAACAAGTTTGGAATACGGCATATTCCGCTCGAGTGAAAAGTTTAGACACGAGCCGAAGGCGAGTTTGACGGTTTCACGAGAGGGGAATATGAAATTCCAAACGTGTTTCAGACTATACTTTTTCTACGTTTCCAAAAAATACCATAGATAAATAATCTAATTGGAAGAAAGTGAGGTTGGATCGGTCTAAAATTTATTAGATATTAACAACAGAGATGTCGCCACGAGTGTTTATTCTGTCATCAGATGATAGAATAATTCATTTTGTAACACTTTACGGAATATATTTCATTCCATATATAAAAGTGATATATATTATTATATATATATTCCATAATAGGAGTAGAAAAAATTAATTATTGTCAGCTCATTTATTATTGTTTGTCGTTACTATTTTTATGTCTTTATTTAAAATTTTAATATTTAAATAGCTGTGTTCCTAATAAACCAACATTTGGTTAAGTTAATTCACAATGTCTAGGTTAACTTGTACCTGAGCTTCGAGTTAATTGTAAATGCGAGTTAACTCACAAATTAGAGTAATCCAGACATTGAAATATAGATTTTCAAATTTAACTTTAAGTTTAGATGTAACTCGCATTTAACTCGCAATGGAAATAACGGGCCTTAATTTTTAGAAAATAAGCTCGTTACAAAGTCAAACACTGTGTAGACTACTGTTAAACTTTGCTACCGTCAACTGCAACTATCAAACAAATACTAAAAATATTATGATAATTTAACTCCTTTTATTTTGATACTCATATCAAAAAAAAAGTTAAGCCGCCAATAACGTCTCGGATAGCGACCTCTTAAAAACATAAAAGCCTAAAACCCTTACATAATTACTTTGTGCAAATAAAATATAGTGAGTAGAGACTACCCTACCCTCAAGAAAGTGTGAAGTGATAAGTGTCAGCTACAGGGCTGTCTTACCACCTGTCAATTGAACGCTTTTCACAAGACAAACAAAAGAGGATAACCAAGGGAGAAAAGGCTATCTGCAAAATCGGATAAGTAACCTTAAACCTAACACATAATTTGCAACATTGGTAAACAAAGTGCATCAGTAACAATAGTAACATTAGTAAGACAATATTGTAAGCAAAAATAAAGACAAAGGCCAAAAAAAAACAAAACCGCCCCATCCTATGGTCATTTACACGAAAGCTAAGTAGGACAATAAATCTGTCATGGACGAATGCGTAAGGCCCCAACAAAATAAACTTTAAACTAAACCAGATCAAATAAACCGACACTTAGAATCCAAACTTAGCGAAGATTACTAACATGCTAGGGCAACACAATAACAAAAAATTGTTAGGTAATCCCAAATGTTTCTAGTAATACTAACTGCATGGTCTAGGGGGATACCGCGTCGTACTTAGATTTGAGTCGGCGTAATTGTCCCCCAAATACCAAAATGTCTATCCCTCCCGTCCTACCTCTTTCATGACCCTACTGGGCGTATAGCATCGGCCCGGCGAACCCGGGAATGGCTATTAAAATTATTGGCATTTCGGTCTCGAGCCATAAATAGGGGACAGTACGGGTCGCACCCAGCAAACCCGGGTGAAGCCGTGCCGTTGCTGGTGGCGAAAGAAAATCGGCGTAAGGAAACAGAGGCCTATGTGGGGCCCGGGAGGCGTATTGGCATTGTGTACTACGATACAGAGCCATAGTGTTCTGAATCGCAGTAAGGATTGACAAAATTAAACGCCACTAAGTACAATACAATCCATACTACGATTCAGCACATCTCCCAGTTTGTGATGTTCTGAATCATAGTAGAGAATGGTGTAGGGTATGCGCGACCGCAGCAGGCCATACTTTACTACGATTCAGAAAATAGTATTCTAATTTGAATTGTAGTTGGATAGCTTACCTACAAATACGCTAGCTGCACGCCTTATCAATAAAAACAAATTATTATTTTTAATTGGAATTTATTTATTAATAAATATTAATAAAAACAAACTAGGTACTCTCTGCAGTTTTAATAATAAATATACATTAACCCAAAGGAAAAAAATCATTTTAAACTTATTAACAAAAAGATCGTTTTACCCAAAAATTTTGCAAGTATACTTGCAAAATTTTTGGGTAAAACGATCTTTTTGTTAATAAGTTTAAAATGATATATCAGATATAAACGTACCACAACGGATTTAAATAATATTTGAAAAAGTTGTACGTTTTATAAAACTATTAATTTTGCAAAAACATAAACATAAAATATACATAAATAAGAAATTTTATTTTATTGTATTGTATTGTATTATATTATATTATATTTTGTATTGTGTTGTTTTCTTTAATAGACACCAAATAAAAATACATAGATTATACTTGATATAATAATTTAAAGTTATATTTTTTATTTTTTAAATATATAAAATCCTTTGCTTTTTTCTCTTATATTTAAGAAAGAAAAACATGAGGGCATTAACTACTAAAATATTTATAAAAAAATCTATTAAGGATTGACAATCCTGGATTGTCGATGATAAAGCCAAATAAAATTTTAGGGTAAAACGATTTTTAAGTTAATTAACTTGAAAAATCGATAATAAAAAATAAATATTGTCAGTGAGATTTTTGGTTGGGTCTGTTTCACTACTATCAATTAATTTCTAACATAACCTATAACTCTGGCTTATCACTTTATGCGTGCGGCACATATATTGCCAATATTTTCTGAATCGCAGTAAAGTATGGCCTGCTGCATTCGCGCAAACACTTCAACATTCTCTACTATGATTCAGAACATCACAAACTGGGAGATGTGCTGAATCGTAGTATGGATTGTATTGTACTTAGTGGCGTTTAATTTT